ATACAAAAAAAATAGATATTTTATAAATTCTTTTAAAAAAATTATTAACTCAAACATGACACAAATATGTTATGATACGATATAATTGAGAGCTATTTAACGAGCATTAATGAATAAATTTAGATCATAAATATGAAATATTTAAACTTTGAGGGCTATAATTTATAATTTATCCAAAAAATTTTAACGATAAAATAGACGGAGTTAGCCTAGGTGCACATTGATAAGAATTTATGTCTTTTAGGGTGTAAATTAATATTTTAAAACTTTGAGGGTACAAATTAAAATTTAAGTGATCTTTTGGGGGTATAAATTGACATTAGCCCAAAAATCTTCCCAAATAAAATAGGTGTAAATAGTTTTGGAAGTAAGCAGACGCTAGAACAAAAATGTCAATTTCCACCGAAAGCATGCATTATTAGCTTTTATTAAAAGTAAGAAAACTCATTCACAACCATCCATCCAAAGTGCAGATATTCACAAGATTCCTACGCCAGACATGATATTCTTGTGAAGCTACTAGAATTTCAATGCATTCAAGATCGAAGGCAACTTTAACAATGGGAGACTGATACACCATTGGAAAACAAATTCAGTGTTGTACGGTCATATACAATTTTTAAGACTTTTTTTTAGGATCACTTACAATTTTTTGGACGCTTTTTGGATGGTTTTTGTGATCGACCCTGTGATTTTAGAATCGATCTCAAAACGTCCAAAAAGTTGCAAATATAATCCCACAAAATTATAACTTGAATTTTAAAAATTATAATATGATCTCGAAAGATTAATATTACTTGTGATCATCGATCATACCATTTTAGGATTGAACCTAGTTTTGGTACTTATAACTAGACCCTAAAAACTTGTATTTTAGCTCACAATAATTATAAATTTTCTTTGTTTAATAGTCAAGAGTATTTAGACTAACTTATGTCAACTTTGACTATTCCCCTCCTTGGTTCGGTCAAAGACAGATCATCCACATCAGAAATAGGAGATTCATGAATAATAAATTTCTCATGATTTAGCCTCTATAAGTTGCCAAAATTAAAACTTAAAATGTCTGAATTTACATGTTTCTATTATGACTCAACCACAGACAATGACTCAACCACACGTGATACCCGAGTCAAATCCTCAACAATGACTCAACCACTTGTATATTTACTAATTTGCCCATATCACAAGCCTCTCTTTATGTATACTTCAATAGGCACACATCACAATCCAACTTGCTAAAAGCATTTTCAACCCCCCATCTCAAACTTGATTTAGATTGAAGTTATTTAATAACACATACCAAATAAAAAGAGAACCAAAACATGACTTAGCATCAAATGGAAGTCAATATCCCAACCATCAAATTTCAACCTCTCATAATCCTTGCTATTCTCTCTAAACTCTAGGGTGCTCTTTACAAATTTATACTCTCTTGCTCTCTCTCTCTCTCTCTGTCTTTCAAACTAGTCTCCCTAGGTACTTGTCATCATTCTCCCTTCTCTTTGAGGGACATGACTATGGTATCCAAAAAATAATTTCGGTATTGTATCTTCAACTTTTATCATTTTAATGGATGTTTTTACAATTTTTTTGGGTCGTTTTATAATAAATAGGGAAATTTTTAAAAAAATTTGAACAAAAATTCGAATTTGTCCACTTGAGTATTGCTTGTCAAATCAAGTTTTTGTTTTTTGGTATTGCTCAAATATAAGTTATTGTATACAACCAGAATTCTAAAGTCAAATTCTAAACTAAAAAGAAAGATATGAAACGACATTTCTAAAACGTACACATCTCAACACAATTGTCAATCCCAGAAAGGGGATGACAAAGGGATCAACTCTACTAACTTTGAGTATAATATAAGTCTAACTATCTAGGATCTTCTATACCTCTGTAGGCATGTGTGGGTGAACTTCGTTTTGAATGAAAATTCAAACTATCTGCTCCAGTCCATCAGAAAAATTAAAACTAAGGAACTTTGTCTACTTGTAGTAGTAGAGAGGTCAAAAGGCACCGAAGATAAAGGAGGCCCGCCAATACCAAAATCATGGAATGACAACTTCTTTAATGCATGGTAGAATTCATGGTGCATTATATAAGTCACAGTTGCTTATTTTGAGATGATTTCTCACTGTGTGTGTGAGTGTTCGTGATGGTATCAGTCACACTACTCCATTAAACCATCAATACGAGAGGGAGCCAGCATTGTGTTTGTTCAGCAGAAATATATCTATGTATTTCTGTTCTTCTCCCATTTCACATCGCTAAAATGTCAAGTATCACTTGAAATATTGATGGAGGAGGTTGTTATAACTTTAGATAGATCACTTAAGTGTAGGTTGTGCAAAATAAAAGAAAATTGCTTTGAAAAATTGTTGTAACGAATTGTTTGTTCAAAAGAGCAAGAGTTGATTGAGTAAAATCATAATTTGAAAAACTAAAGTATGGAGGATACCTTTTCAATTCTACACGGTAATTATTAATGATTCAATTTTTGAACTCAATTAAAAATCAGTTGATGAGTGATTCAAATCAGAATATTTTACAGTAATAATATGGAAAATANAAAATCAGTTGATGAGTGATTCAAATCAGAATATTTTACAGTAATAATATGGAAAATATCAAAGATATAATTAATAAATTATCTGAATAAATATAGCAATTTACTTATAGATCACAAACATTTCATCGTGCTCAGAATCTACGATAAATCAAGCTTTCTAACAGGTAAATCTTATTTTATTATAAATAATAAATCAACTATCTTATGAAAATTCTAATTAATTAATTCAAATATATAATACCTAGTTATTTGACTCGTATGAAATCTCAAGCATTCGATGTACATGCCACAACGAATCAAGAAATTATACAGAGTAAAAACTTTACTAAAATACAAGAATTAAATCAAAAAAATAAATCATGCATAACTTCTCCGCTTCCCACTTTTATGCCTGACATAATTTCTCATCCATTCTCCCTCTCTCTCTATGGTTCATTCTCTATTCTTCTACCTCAACTTTTCCTTTCCTCTGTCATTGAACCTAAAAATTATTCATATTTTTGATTAAATAGTTGTGCATTGCCTCACATGGGCCATTGTTAGTATTGTAAGACCACGTGTATTTATTTGTAAATTTATAATAGATTACTGTATATTAGGTTGAGTTTGGTAAAGTATGGCTAAAAAGTTTTTTTTTTTTTTTTTAAATTGAAGTATGAGTAATTGAGACCTTTGGGAGACTAGACATTTTTGGAGTAATCACATTTAGGAGAAAGGGAATAGCTAAAATTTTAAAAGTTTGAATGAAAATAACCTCAAAAATGGATTCAGAGCATCAAGAAACTTTAATAGAGAAATATAAGATGTATTATGACACTAAAAGATCAAAAATAACACAAATAGAATAAGACAGAATTTGAGATGTTTGAATGCAAGATCTCCATTCAGACGCAACTTAAAAATGTTGGATATTGAGTTGGCACTCGTCCAAATACAAAATTTCCATCCCGGGCGGACGTATGATTTTGGACATGATTATCTCCGTGCCAACTAACTTTTTTTGGACCCTATAAATACCATAGGGATCAATTGTTAGTGTTTATTTTCACATTCTAACCCTAAAGCAACCTAAGGGAGGCCTAAAGAAAGAATGAAGAAGAGGAGAAAGAACAAATCAAGTTAGAATGAGAGAATATCTACCTGTAGGCAATCACTCCAAACCCTTTAGAAGATATTTTCTTCACAATTAAGGCAGGATTTTTTTTTCATTTACAATTAATTAAGGTTAGAGCTATTATGTATATATTCTTTAACTCAAATCAGCATGCATATTATAGATCTATAACTGTTTTGGATTTATTTCAAAAGTATGGTTTGTCTTCTTGACAAAATAACTAATTTACATTCAATTATATGTTTTTGATTCGTAAACCTTAGATCTTAAATACTGTTAAATTCATGATGTTTCTTGGCGATATCATGCATGTTTTTATTGAAGTTTTCTCTATTTTAAGAATGGTGAAGCTGTTATTCATGGTACATGTGGATTTATTGGAAAACATGAATTCAATCTCTTGTATGGGTGGGTTGGTGAACTTGAATGCACTCAAATTTATTTCGTAGAGTATTTAGATAAGTTTCTTATCTCAAGGGGTTTGAAGATTTTCTATCACTTATAGTAGGGCATTAATTCTTTACGGGCGATGTTTTAAAATTAGTCTAATCCAATGGGTTGACCTGGGCACCCAATGAACTGGACTCTAAATTAGGTCAATTCATCAGTTAGATTGTTCAAGCACAAAACCTGCCCAAGACTCATTGAACCAGACGACCTTTTGGGTAAATTGTTCAAACCATGCAAATTGCTCAAGTCCTTCGATCTCACACTTGTCAACCCCCCCCTCCCCCTCTCCCCCCCTCTCTCTCTCTGCCCACTTTCACTAACTCAAGCTTCTCTCCAATTCTTGATCGTCTCACCACCATTATTAATTTGTTCGTGGTGGCCTCTTAATCATTCTCTCATCACATTTTGCTGCATGAATTTAAAAAGTAAAGTTAAAATATAGACTTAATGATCACAATCATTAATTTCACTTTGAGTCATGTATTTATTAGAATTTATTACTTATTTAAATATTGTGATTATAAAGTCTATTAACTTGGGCCTCAGATTTGAGTCGCACGGTCTAGGGCCCGGCCCAATCAGGCCTAATCATAAAGTTTCCGATTAATTCACGAGGAACCAAGGATCGGCGTTGAGCAGTGTCGTGCCAGCAGAAATAGACGTTAGAAAACGTAACGGCTAGTACTCTTTAATTTTTAACTTCAAAAATTTTTAAAAAAAAAAAAAAAGGCTTTCCTTTATTCGCCCCTCTCTGTTTCTTTCCATTCTCAGAACCCTTCTCTTGCTTTCTTCCACTTTAGCTCTCTCTCTCTCTCCTTTGAGTTAAGGGATCTTGAATTTTCTTGAGAATACCAAGCAACCCCGCAACAAACCCATTTCAGCTCTCTTTCTCTCTCTCTCTCCCCTCATATACACGTAAACTCCAAGCTACTCTTCATCCAAACCTTGAACTTTCTGTTTGGTCACCGAGAAATCGGCCGAAAAATTTCTAGGTCTTTTTGCAATGGCACCAACACCTCATGGTAAATCTAATCCATTGGCTCCAACACCATCAAAATCAAATCAAACCCAAGCAAAGACACCCCAATCAAAGCAACGCCTAAACCTCAACGCAACCAAACCCTCTCCAAACACCAACTCTGCAGTTAAAGAAACCCCAACAGCCGATCACCCAGTTGAAGTTATTGGGCGAATCCGGGACTACCCGGACCGAAAAAACAAACCCATCTCAGCATTGCAAATCAACCCAGACCGCCAGTCCCTTAGAGTTAAAACCGATATTGGGTATAGAGATTTTGGTCTTGATGGTGTATCTTTATCAGAAGAGGAGGATCTTGATGGATTTTACAAAAAATTTGTGGAGGCAAGAATCAATAGTGTTAAACTGGGGGCTAAATGTACTATCATGATGTATGGACCGACTGGTTCAGGCAAGAGTCACACAATGTTTGGGTGCTCAAAGCAGCCAGGGATTGTGTATAAGTCTTTGAGGGATATCTTGGGTAAAGGGGATGAAGAGAATGGTGGTAATGATCAGAGTGTGTGTGTTGGGACATTTGTTCAAGTCACTGTTTTGGAGGTATACAATGAGGAGATTTATGATCTGTTGTCGACTAATACTGGTGGAGGGTTTAGTCTTGGGTGGTCAAAGGGAAATGCTTCCAAGGTCAGAATTGCTCTGTTATTATTAATTGAATTTATTTTTTTTTTGGGCTGTTAGTCTGTATAGGCTATATCAAGAATTGAGCATGTACATATGATGAAATTTGGTGTACAGAGATGTAGTCATACGTGTGCTTGTGTTTTATCTAAATTCTTGTATATATTATATATAGCTTCAATATGATTTTAGTTTCGTTTCCTTGACATTAGTGCTTGTAATTTTTGGCTCTTATAATGTGTTTTCTGACTTTTAGACTGTGGCCCAATTTTAAGATTCAGGAGAATGGTACAAATTTATGATGACTTACTACAACTTCCTTATTATTGAATGAATGGATAGTGCTGTTCTATATATGAAGCTATTTTATGCTTGTATATGTTGTGTTTTGTTAGTATGGTGAAAAAGAGATGATTAGAAACTTGGGCCATATTGCACGATATATGTTTTGCATGAACTAAAATTTGACTAATGCTCTAATAATGACATTGTTTTTGCTATCAGACCATGTGTATGGCATTATATGACTCCAATTTTAACATATGTAATGAGTTGTCATTTAAGAGTTTGTTTTTTGTAGGTGAGACTTGAAGTGATGGGAAAGAAGGCAAAAAATGCAATGTTTATCTCTGGAAATGAAGCTGGGAAGATATCAAAAGAGATCCAAAAAGTGGAAAAACGAAGGATTGTCAAAAGTACACATTGCAATGAGAGGAGCTCTCGAAGCCACTGCATGGTTTGAACCTTTTAAGTTTTAATACTTTCCCGAGGACAAAAACCTTATTTCAGATTTATATCTGTATGAAATGTAACCTTCTTCTATCTATTTTTCAGGTTATTCTTGATGTACCGACAGTGGGGGGACAGCTTATGCTTGTTGACATGGCAGGTTCTGAGAATATTGAACAAGCTGGACAAAATGGTTTGGAAGCAAAAATGCAGGTAGAATTTTTCAGGACTTTTGTTTTTTTATATTTTTCAAGTTGTTTCCTAGACTTTTCTTTTCCTTTGCCGTATGAAGGCATGTTAGTTTTTGATGCTAATCTTTTCTTTTTTGAACAAGTTGTTAATCAGTTTATGTTTTCCTTGAAAGCACAGACAGGAAAGATTAACCAAGGAAACATAGCTCTGAAGAGAGTGGTTGAATCTATTGCAAATGGTGATTCTCATGTGCCATTCAGAGACAGCAAGTTAACCATGCTTCTGCAGGTGCCTCCTGTTTACATGCTTTCAGCTATGATAGTTAGCACGACTTCTCCTTTTTGTTTCATCTGTTTGTGTTGATATATGATACTCTTGAGTTCTATTGGTTTAGGACTCTTTTGAAGATGATAAATCTAAGATTCTGATGATATTGTGTGCGAGCCCGGATCCCAAGGAGATGCATAAGACCATCTCAACTCTGGAATATGGAGCTAAAGCAAAATGTATTGTCCGTGGTCCTCACACACCCATCAGGGAGAAAGGCACTGAAGATTCTTCATCATCGGTTATTTTGGGATCAAGAATTGCAGCTATGGACCAGTTTATTTACAAGCTACAGATGGAGAGCAGGCTCAGAGAGAAAGAGCGCAATGTAGCCCACAAAGAGCTTATGAATAAAGAAGAAGAAGTTTCGGCACTAAGGGCTAAACTTGCAGTCGTGGAAGGGAAGGGATCTGGGACAAATGAAGAGGAGATCAACATGAAAGTAAATGAACGGACCCTGATGCTGAGAAGTGAGTTGGAGAAGAAAATCGAAGAATGCCAGAAAATGGCAAATGAATTTGTTGAAATGGAAAGGAGGAAAATGGAAGAAAAGCTATTGGAGCAGCAACAGGAGGTTGACATGCTGAGGCGTCGCTTGGAGGAAATTGAGTCTGAGCTTTGCCGTTCTAGGGATGAAAACAGGTCATCAGACATAGATGGAAGTAGCTTCGCTAACAGGTTGTTGGAGATTTATGCTGATGAAGATCCAGGGATGGTGAAATCAATGGATTTGGATAAATCAATGGATATGGGCATGGGGAAACAAGCTGGGATGCTTCATAAAACAGAAAACAATGTTATTCAGGCAATTTTGAGTTATCCTCATATAATCAGTTCAAATGAAGAAGAAGATCATGATGTATTTGAGCCAAATTTTGCCAGCAAATCAAGTTTGAGTACTGTATTTGAGGAAGAAGAAGAAGAGGTGGATGATATAGAAAAACCTGTGGATGAAGAAGTGCAGAAAGAGGTAATAGAGGAAAAGACAGTATGTTCTAGCAGGCTGGCAGATAGTTCTAAACCTGACACAGGTTCTTTTGCACCATCTACCCTAAATTTTGAAGCCACGCCGGATTTGTCAAGTCAGAATTCAGAGGAAATTTACTATTTTAGAGATAGAACGGAGGAGAAGCACTTGGGATCTAGATTTATAAATGAGCCTGAAAATGCCAAGGATACAGCTTTTTCTAGGCAAACAAGAATCCAAAACATATTCACACTCTGCGGGAATTATAGACAGCTCCCTCAGCATAATAGAACCCCAATTCCTACAGAAACAAGTTTTGAAAATAATAGTGGTTCTCCATCACCTCCTGTGAGGACAATTGGAGAGGATTCTTCTCTGATAAAGTATTCTAACGAACCATCGCAACTTCAGAAAAGTGTCTCCGGGAATATCTTGGCATCAGGTAAACCTGAAAACAAACAGAAACATACAGAAAACCTGATGAAGGAAATCAGGGGTTCTGATGAGATAGCACTGGATTCGAAGGAGAACTACAACCCATTAAATCAAAACATTGATGACCTGGAAGTATACGTGAAATGGGAGGCATCAAAGGAAAATCCAGGGAAAATTGTCACCAAAATAAAGATTGTAAAGGATTCAACCCTTTCTGATCTGCGGAAGCTAATTGAAATCCATCTTGGTGCAGATAATCAAGCATTCACTTTTCTGGTACTTAGGGTATGTTATTCTTCATTTAATGTTTTATAATGTTTTTGTGAAATTTTTCCAATGCTATATTATCCATGTGTTATCGGCGAACATATATGTCTCATCAAGTACTATTAGCTTATTTAGAAAGACTTCTTTTGGCATAAATCTTCATTAGTAATGTGTTTAGCTTGTTGTTCATTGTCTATCTTTTCGGAGGATAAATTACTATATTTTGCAAAGGAAATGAATATCTTCCACTGTAAGGGCAAAGGAAATGCATAACGGGATCATTGCCCTAAGTTTCCAACTTTTATTAGGAAGTTGGATCCAGCAGGACTTTGGAATCTTATGACAACGACCCAAATACATGATAAATCCTGAATAATAATTTCTGTGGTAGCCTTTCTCCAAATTGTAATGTATGTGCTTGGATGTGTGGAATTTGGGTTCTAGTTTGGTTTCTTGCATGTGTTGTTCTTTGCTTTTTGGTGTTAAGAGGAATGACCTCTTTTTTCTCATGTTTTTTCTTGCTTGTTTGATGGCTTGTTATTGAGTCTGCTTGAAAGGTTTTTTCCCTTGTAGTTCTTTTGGTTTTGTGCGTCTTCCTGAGATTGAGCTTTATGGCTTCCTGTAATCTGGTTTTTAGAGAATTAAATAAAGCTTTATGGCAAGAAATAGAGAAAAGGAAGCACACACACCAGAATTTGTTTCTCACCTTGTTGCTCCTTTTGCTTTAATGTGTCTGTCTGCCTTTAGAGACATTAATGCTTATGGAACACCCTTCCATAAATACACTGGGAATGTTGTCCAAGGACCAAATATGGAACAGGATCCAGTTGGGTAATTAAAGAAGTCTAATTTTTCTTGTCACCGTTTATGTCTTGTGCTTGTGTATGTATACACTTTTCTCATGGGAAATGCATGGACTTTGTGTATATAGGATCCCTCTGGAGCTCCAGTCCCTAGAGAGAAGGAGACAACAACTCAGACAAGCAAACTTCCAATTTGCAACAACCAGTTGCGCGGCCACCTGGCTTGCTTGCGTCCAGTGAAGGGAGTCCAATGTCCGAGTCATCTCCCATTCAGCCCGTTGGAAAATAAACTTTTGGTCACTTCAGATTCAAATTTCAAGATGCAAAGCGATGGTTTTTCACCTAACGTACCACAACATGTGACTTCTACACCATTCGTTGCTGTTCAAAGATAGTAGTTGCCATGTTTGATCATGCTTCTGTGAGTTTTGTGCAGCTACACATTGTAATCATCCTAAATATGTGTATTTTTGAACACATTGATGTATGTACTCTTGGTACATTCAAATATGTACTTTTGATACATTCTTATACGAGCACCTTTTGAAGGAAGGGTAGGTGTCCATCCAGCAGCACTTCTGTAATTACTTACATATGTATCGTAATATGTTTTTTTTTGTGGTTATGAATCATTTTTGTTCTTGTTTTGAAAGAGTTTGGTCGTTCATATTTTTAGTTGAATGTATGCGAAGAGTCACTTTCTAATACGATATATGGCAATATCTGTTTTCTAATTAAATGGTATATGTACATGTTGCTCTTGTTTTGAAAAGATCGGTGTTTTATACAATACAACGGCAGTTTGTGTTTTCTGGTTATATGAATGTAAATTGAGTATCACTTTCCAATACTATATACAGCAATAAGTGATTTGAAAAGATGTGTTTTATAAGATGAAATATTTTTGCATTCCAATGGGGAATGATTCAAGGTGGGGGTCAGAACGAGCGAGCTTAAGGTTTTGTTCGAAATTTTTATGAGTTCAAATCCGCTTGTGTTGTAAACTAGATATTGTTGGAAGGGTTGAATGTTCAGTTTGTCTTCGGTGGTGATCTGGTGACAGGATCTCGATCATCAAACATTCTACTGTGGGTTACTACTCTAAAAAAAAATCTTGCGACCTCTGACGCTACACCCACATGTATGAATTGTTTCCATTTCTATACTTTTGGATGTTAAGTGAAGATAGATGAATATAACCTTTTTTTTTTTTAGATGAATATAACATTTTGGGATGGTCAAGTGGTTAAATCTTACTTCTTATAAGAATGAGTTCTCACGTTGAATACTTCTCACACTTTCTAAGGGTCAATCACCTTTCTTCAAGAGACATATCCTTAAACTAATTCGAGTTACGGTGGCTGACTCAGAACTTGAGGAAGTAATTATATGACCCTTAAACTATACACATGACCCTAGAAAAAGGAGTAAATTATACATATAATCCTCAAATTATGATATTTATATCAATTAAGTCCTTGAATTTTTTTTTATGTCAATTAAACTCATCAACTCTCTAATTGTGTCAATTGAGTCTTTCTGTCTACCTCTGTTGCATTCAATATTTACTCATCCATTAAAGTGTATCACTCATGTGACTATTTGGCAAAAAAAGACAAAATGATTAAATTAACACAATTAGAGAGTTGATAGACTCAATTGATACAAAAAAAAAAATAGAGACTTAATTGACAAAAGGGTTATAATTTAAGGGTCATATGTTTAGTTTAATTTAATCATTTGTATCACATGTATTGACAAACTTCGTCATTTTTCGTTAAAAAATTTAACGGAGATAGATCGAATGACTCAATTAATACAATTAGAGAGTTTAGGGTAACGGAGATTTAATTGACGTAAGAATTATAATTTAAAGTTATACCAGTAAATTACTCTAAAAAAAAAGAAGAATATCTATTTTTTTCGTTAACCTTGCAACTCAGAGATGACTCGGGCAAAATAGTAATTGAAAAGGAAAAACCTTTTAACAGTTTGGACCTTCATATTGAATAATGGTTACAACCCACGAATTCTTCTTGAAATCTCATCACATTCATTCCCTTCATAGGCTTCCAAAACTGGATCCGGACCCTTCTCTTGGTTCTTCATTACATGGGCGAACTCGGGATCCGGGAATCCAGTCAATTCCTGGCCTTTTGATATTGATGATCTCATAGACCCACCATTAGAAGATGCCTTTGGCTTCTTTTTGCGCGACTGTTTTGCAACTACTGGTGGTTCTTGTTGGGGAGACTCCGACCCAAGACTTGAATTGTTGAGCCTCCTCGGTCGGGTCGATAGTTCCCTGGTCGAAGATTCGAGAATTGAATTCTTCTTCCTCCTAGGCTTGTTACTGCCCAATGGGGCCCGACCCGGAGATCCTACTGAACCATTGAAAATCTGGCGCCTGGATGGTTTTGTTTCACCGAAGATATTACGGGTCGGGGAATCCGTCGGGGCACCGGATGACTTTTGCATATCCGAATTGCCTATGAGCAATGAATCTTGAATAAAAATCAAAGTATGAAGTGAGTCCTAAATTTTCATTTTATTAGAGGGGGAACCAATTCTTCATTCATGTAATGGAAATAGAAAATATCAACTTTATTAAATAGCATTTCATATATTGTTAAAATTAGAAAGTTTGAGTCTTCTTTAAGTCACATTTTTACTAAATGCGTGAACCCGACACAATATAATTCATAAACGAATCGAGTATGGGTGAAGTAACTCAAAAGAAATACACGATACAACTTATTTATATATTTGTTATATATGACACAATTCGTTAGATATAAATTAATAATCAAATCAGGTATGAGTGGAATATTTTTTTGACACGAACCCGTTAACACCCAATACGAATCTATCTCATATGTCATGATTAACGGGCCTACCTGTATTTACCAAAAAGGAAAAAAAATTTGACCAACATTTTAGGATAATTTTTTATGACTTACTTGAGTTATTTTTTGCTCAAGTTAAGTTGAATAAGTCAGTACATATTAAATAGTAGAGTTGTGGTATATCCTCTCTCTCTCTCTCTCTCTCTGTTTTTTTCTTTTCTTTTTTTTTTTGGGAGGAGGGGGGCTAGAAAATATGATACCTTTGGCTGAATACTTGGTAGCATACGTTGGTAGAGTGTTACAATTTGATGCTCCAGATGAGGGTTCCGGAGAAGTTCCAAACTCATTCATCTACAAAATTCTAAAATAAGTTAATTAATCACTTATATAATTCAATGTAAATATGATTGCCTTGATTAAAAAATAACATAATGTATAATGTTTGGAGGGGCTTCATTTGCTTGAAATGACTAGGAAATAGATGTTATAAACATAGAGTCGCCCCAAGTCAATAAACAAATGATGCACAATACAGAAATAAGAAATCATACATATTTTTTATGAATACCAATGAATCTAGCCTATTCATTAAGTAAAAGGAAAAGAAAAAAATTACTATGCGATGCGTGAAATTAAATCCTAGGTCCTAAATTATCTTGGAACATTAATGTTGGTTTGTTTGTTGTTTTTTTTTTTTTTTTTTGGGCAGCCACTATTTTGTCCCAAAACACATTAACATTTCCAAAGAAAATAATTATCAAAAGAAAAAGAAAGGAAAAAAATAATGGCTTACCACCCAGCTTGGTGAATTTGCAGGTGTACATTCCCATCCAATGTGGCCAAGATGTTTTACATCTGTGGGGTGGCCTATCTGCATTTCTGGTTCTTTCTCATTCTCTGCAAATTTATTATAGATTATAATTATATTATTGAACTTTGTAAGCTTTGAAGAAAGAGAACATGGAAAAAAGGAATTCATATACAGTGACTTGGCATATAGAAGAACTAGGGTAATCTCTGCAATGCAGTCTCTTTTGTATTATGATTAAAATGTAAGTTAAAATATTTACTGTGGTTGGTTAAAATATAGATGAGTAGGTTGTAGATTTATCGTAATTAAACTTTAAGCATTGTTACTGATGGGACGTGGGCGGCTTGCCAGTTACAAATCGATAAGTGTCACATTACAGCCGGTAGATGTGTCCATTGAGTTCCCATATGCCGAAACCGAATGATAAACATTCCCAAGACCGACTAAGAATGCACCATGGAGGAACAAAGACGTGCACGACTGATGCTGAGGATTAATTGCCCTAAGAAAGTGCGCCTCATGCAAAGCGTTGATGTAACGAACGATCATTACTCTATCACATCAACTCCGAACTTGTATCAAACTACAAGAAAGATAGAGGCACGACCCTCTGTTGATGAAGAAAAGCCCTCAGTGGCATCAAATTGAATCATAAATGCTCAGTTACAGATCGTGAGTATTCGACGTGGAACACTTGATGTTTGAGAAACTTGATGTTCAAGGTGCCAGAAGTCATAAATGCTCAGCCTCACAAGCTTTAAAGTTATGATTGGACCCCATCGCCAAGTAAGCATGACAGGGCACACTTATTATGCGGCGCAAAAACAGTAGACTTGCTAATATTCTGACTTTTTTGCAAGAATTTTCACCGTAAGTTGTCAGACCTAAGCTTTGAGTACTCAAGTAATTGTCACATCCTCACAATTCAAAGGTATAAATAACCCAACGAACCAGGGCACAAGTATGCATGCTCAACCAACTTTGCATTGTACACTTATCCTCTCAGCATTGAGCGTCGACTAACTTACACATTAGAAGGGATAAGCCGAGTGCATCCCCAACCTCTTTCTGACTTCATTCCTTGTTTCAAAAGTCTCATCCAAACTCACCCATGGATCACTACCTCAAATCATTGCAAAGTTACAAGAACTTTAACATAACTTTGGTGAAAAATTTTATAGTGGCTAAGCCGTTGAATTCAAGTGATTAAGTAAATATTGTGCTTTATGGTAAAAAGAGTAAATTTTATTGTGTAGATAGAGAAAGAGTCATTACCCAATTTTAGTATACATTAAGGAAGAATGTTGATAGGAATTAAGTGATTGTACTCAAATTTGATGCACAATCGCACAATTGTTTGAACAATTTTGATGGTAGATGAATAGATGAGAAGAAAATTGAAAAACATGAAAAGAACTCATATTTTTATTCCTCATTGGCGAATTTATGGAGATGACAAGTACTCTTGAATGATACATTGAAGATTCAAATTTAAAAATCATTCTCCAAAATAGGGGTCAAACATAATACAATTTATCTCTCATAAATAGTCTTGCATAGTGGGTATAACTTCTTTTTTTTTAATTTTCTAAACAATTATTTCAAAAAAACTATATTAAAAAATTTGGGAGGAAAAAAGAAAATGAGCTAGGGGTACATACCAAATATTTGTGAAATGTATCTTAAGCCTTTCAAGAGGCCCTTCACCTTTGTGGGCATTTTGGTTGAAGGATTTATCTATGCTACTTATCCTTCAAAACAACATTTGTGAGAAATGCCAGGAAGAAACCGGCGTTGGCGACAACAAATTTACATCAAATTCTCCCTCCGGGACCAATTTTTTTGGATTGAACCAACATGGTGTCATCTCTTCAGATCATT